AGATGAGTCTACACTTTAGTTTATGAGAGAAGGTATATAGATGAAAGGATGGAGGAGGTTAAAGTTGTATATAAAGGACTGTATCCATTTCCTGTAACAAATTACCACAAACTTAGTGGCTTAAAACAATTAACAAAATTTTATAATCCTGAAGCTGAAAAATATATAAAGTGGTTGACAAGGCTGTGTTCCTTCTGGAGGCTCCAGGGGAGAACCTGGATTTCCTTGCCTTTTCCTTGCCTTTTCCAGCTTCTAGAGGCTGCCTGCATTCCTTGGCTCATGGGCCCTTCCTCCATCTTCAAGACCAGCAGTGTAGCATCTTCCAGTCTCTCTCTCTGTCACCTCCACTTCATTGTCACATCTTTACTTCTAACTGTGACTTTCTTGCCTCCCTCTTATAAAGACCCTGTGGTGACATTGAACCCACCCAGATAACCCAGGATAATCCATCCCATCTCAAGAGCTGTAATTTAATCACATCTGCAAAGTCCCTTTTGCTCTATAAGGTAACATATTCACAGATCCTTGGGACTAGGACTTGGACATCTTTGAGGGCCCATTATTTAACCTACCAGAAGGACTAACTGCAAATGAGTGAACAGACTATAGCTTATTTATTTGGTAGGGTGAGCTTAACAATGGTATTAATTTTGGGACAATAAGAACTGGAGGGCGCCCCTAATACATGAGCCCTTGCAGAATGGTAGGGGAAAAGCATCTAAGAAAACTAGTGGAGAGACAATACGTATATAGAGTGAGGTTGTGGGGAGGGGAGCAGAGGGCCCATCGGCAATGACCTTGGTTGGCTGAGATAGAAACCACAGGTTAGAATATGTGGGGGGTGTCAGGTGGTTACTGGAACTATGAGGGGGGACACTTTGTAAAGAGTATGATTGTCTTACCACTATGTTGTACACCTGAAACTACTATACAATAATATTGAATATAAATAGTAATTGGAAAAAAATAATAAAAAGATAAATTGAAAAAAACCAAAGGAATGCATGGGGAGAGCGTAGCTAGACAGTTCCTGAGTGAGGTGGAACCTGAGTGCCATGTGGGAGAGTTTAGATTTGTTTTGCAGCCATGGGAGGCTGCTGTAGCTGGCAATGTGACACAGTATCATTTAACATAATTTCGATATAAAATTGGTTTATACTTTACGCTCAAGTTGATTATGACTCAGAGAATCAAAATTAGAACCAGGCTATAAAAACGAACAGAGAAAGCTAATGGACAGTAAGAAAGGAATGATTTGTGGAATCTTTGTAAAGAGATATACTATAAAGTTGGAGAGAATCACTGTGTGTTGCCTGAGAGACTGGAAATGGTCGGCTCTGGGTAGGCTCCACTAGTGCCCCCGAATGAACTGTCTGAAGGCAAGGGCCGTAAGGGGAGCTGGCCTTGACGGGGCTCTGTCAGAAGGCTTATGCTCCTTCACTCACTGCCATTGGAGAATTTCATCTGTGATAAGAGAACCTGACTTCCCTAGACTTTGTTGTTTAAGGTGCCTGGCACTCATGAAGTCTTGAACCCATTACACTTTTATTGTGGGCTGCGGAAACTTTGGTAAAGGTTAATTAGTTCATACTTATCCTTATGTAGTACTTTTACATCTCTTAAAGCTTTATCACCGCCCATATTGGTTACTCATTGATTCTTTTTCATTTTTTCTTATGCTATATAACTGGCTCCAAGAAAGGTCATATCTGTAGTGGAGATCAGACAACAGCCAGTGTTTATTTGGGCCGGCTCAGGCAATCCTTTTGCAGTGCAACAGACTTTTTTTTTTTCTTAGATGCAAGATCTAGGGGATTTTGGAAATGCTGGTATTAAACTTAAGCATATTTGAGGTTCTTTTCTTTCACCACCTGAATAATGAGGAAAGATATGTTTTGAAACTGTGATATTCTCCTGTCTTTCAGGATTTTTGTGGAAGGAATGCCAGGAACAAAGATGTTTTTCTTAATTTTGTTGTTCAATCAGGTTGCTTATAGCCCTTGAGGCCATCGTATTGTCACCTTTAGAGCTTGTAGAATTGCCCGATAAATCTGCAAGGCAGCTGGTTGGGCCAGGCTGGGCCAGAAATGCACTGTGTTCTCTATTTTCTCGAACCTTCCCCTTCTTGAGTGTTTGGATCCCACCAGCTTGTGCCTTGCCTGGATGTTCTTTGACCGTGTGAAGGGCAACCCCAGATGAGGCCTCCTAAGCCAGGCAGAGAGAGTGGCAACTCTCCTATCTGTTCTCACTCTGCTTTTCTCTTTTCACTGACGTTCAGTGCATCATTAGAGTTGGAAAGTTACTTCTACCTGCTTCCCCATCTTTTCTCTAACATGTTCTTTACCTTCTCCATTGGTTTCCATGCTAGTATGTTTTAATCGGAGGATCTCCGTGGCTGTTATGCCCTAGGATTTCTTTCTGTGCTGTCATTTCAGGAGAAGGTTGTATTTATTGCTTCTGAAAACAGCAGGTATATTGTGAACTAGTGGAAGGCATAAATAATACATTTTATTGGTTAGGCCTTAAATTTGTATTTTTATTAAAATAATACTATGTACAAAGTCTAAAAAGCCAACAGTTGCCAAAGGTCTTTAATGAAAAAATTCAGTAATCTTCACATCCTCTCTACAACCCTTAACTTTTCTAGCTATTTTCTCTGATATTTACCTCACTGTTTCTAAATAATATTCTCATCTTTCTCTCAGGGATTTCTAGACTTTCCCCTATGTTGAAGGAGTATTTCATGTCCTTGGACAACCCCTTGCCCACTGCATTTTCCTTCCCTCCCCTGCCCCACTTTAATTTTGGAAATATTTTCTGGTTTGAGGTTTTGTCAAGTTCATCCCAAGTAAGCAGTAAGTCAGGCTTCCTGAATCACTTGACTTATTCTCAATGGTTCATATTAGAACATTTCTTGAATACTAAAGGTGCCAGTAACTGAACAAACTACATTAAAAGACTTTTTCTGGGTAGATGGACCCCACAGAGTAAGTAAGAACGGACTGAAAAATCACAGTAAACTTATCAGAAGAAACCAGGGGGAGCTTATCACTTTGGTCTTCCTAAATCATTCAAGGTTTCTCAAACGTAAGTGGAAATTGAGGCTGTGAATAAACTTAGTACTTCTTACAAGTCTGTGGCAGGTATTCCAGTCTTATCTGCCCATTTCTAGAAAATACACAAGGGGCTGGGCATTTGCAAACTGGAAGCTAATGCCCTCTGTCACCTCAGTTCAGTAATACTTAAGCTAGGCATAATTAATCAACCAGAAAAGATAGGAAAGAGATGCCAAGGCCAAGAGCACTTCAGAACTGAGCACTTCATTCAGCAAGGGGTATAATCAAGTTTTTTCTCCACCCCTTCTCCTCTGTGACTTTTAGAGCATAATTGAGACACAGTGCTTGGAAAATTCTTCTGGGGCATTGATAAGATCAGACAAGTTCTTGGAAAAATTTTATCTTAGGCAATTCCATTTGCCAAGGCATCTTATAGAGCAACATGTAGCAATTACGGTATAGGGGGGAAACCAGAAAGAAAGGTTTTTATGAGAAAGAAGCCTGAACAATTCCATTAGAACAAGTTAACTCACCCAACTGTAGTCTGTTCTGACAACTTAAAATACAGATGAAACAAAACCATGAGATCGTAGTGAATAGAACTGGGAAAACAGCAATAACTAATAAGAACAGGCTTTTCATAAACACACGTGTTTCTGAATTGCTGTGGAGTAATCATAAAGATAAATCTGAAATGATTTAGTCTGAGTTCGTTAGCTCATTCATTCATGCATTCATTTAGTGTATACCATGTACCAGTTCCATATATGCGAGGGGCTGGGGACGTAGTGGTGAGGAAAAGCAGCAAGCTGCAGCTCTCACAGATTTACAGTCTAGCACACTGAGCAAGCTACACGCCCAGGCTGCGGGTTGTGCAGTGACGGGGCCGGCACATAGCCTGACTAGACTATGGCACCCGGGAATATCAGAATCCGTAGAAGCTCATATTGGATAGTTGAGCTAACATCTCAAGGTTGAGGATGGTGTGGTTTAGGAAAAGAGGGTAACAGAGTGGGAGAAGATGTTCTGGGCAGAGGGAACAGCATGTGCCAGGTTCCCATGGCTGGAGGAACTGAAAGACGGCCATGGAGACCAGAGCTCAGGCTGTGAGGGGAAAGTCATGGGGAGTGAGGCTGGAGGGATAGGCTGCCCTCATACCATGCAGTCAAGGATTTCAAGAAGGAGAAATACTACAACTACTTTGCCTGTGGCACGCACAGTGGACTTGGGCCATGTGAATGTGCAGCAGCCAGTCAGTAAGCTCGAGCTGGAGCCCGGGTGAGGGGCTGTGGTTTGGGTGGTGGTCGGAGCTGGGGATGAATGCAATAAATCTACAGGGGTGGGGGACCGGTAGGACTTGACAGATTGGATATGAGGGATGAGGAAGAGGGAGACATCCAGGGTTGCACTTAGGTGTCTGACGTATAGAATGTACCAGAATGGATGACATTACCATTTTTATTTTTTAAAGAATCCTTCTCATGGTTTTCTACAAATAAGTACTTTTGGTATACTTTTCTGCACAGATTGACAGATTTGCTTATGGAAAATCTTTAGGGAATGAAGTGGGCAGTGGGAGAGAGCGGTTATTATGGGAGGGAGATGAATACTAAAGTAAAAGGCCCCAGACACCCAGAACTTGAAGCGCAAACACTGCCCAGAACTGACAGGTTGAGTAATGAAGCGAGGAAGGTCATAAAGACGCCTCTCATAAATTTTTTACAAGTGATTTAAATGAAAGATGAGAAACAGACACGAAAGGGAAATACTGTGAGGCCTGTATAAAGTATGCCTGTATTTGAATGAGAAAGCTGGAAGGAATATCAGATTTTATTGTTTAGGGAACATCTGTACCCTATGACCATTCCTCTAGAAGTAAAGCTTGAAATTTGGGAAATTACATTTTTACCAGATGACAAAACCACACTTGTTTTGTTTTCTAAGGTGATTGATATGCCGGAGCACAACCCTGGCAATTTGGGAGGAACAATGAGGCTGGGAATAAGAAGAACGGTTTTCAAAACTGAAAATTCAATATTAAGTAAGTCTCTCAGATTGTTTGTTTTACAAAACATTGGGTGTCATTCACCTTGCCCCTTCCACCTCTCCTGCTTCTCTTCCAGAAAAGACTTCCTCTCACCTGTCTGCCCCTGACCTGGCTGGTCCTCCTGCTTCCCACTTCCTCTCTTTGGAAGGGTTCTCGTTTGACCTCCGTGGCACGCTGTCCAGCGAGCTGTTTTGTGATTTACCCATGCCCCTGGACATGACCTTTCGCTGAGCCCTGATTCCCACCCTGTTAGGTTCTTCCAGGGTTCTCTCCACTACATGAAAACCTGCTCCCCGCTTAACTGTTTCATGTCTGACTGGTTTTAGCTGCTAATTTAAGAACTTCTTGGCGAGGAGTCTATTTCTCTGCTCCCTTAGTAGCTCCAGCATGAGGACAGGAAAATATGATGTCATAGTTGCTGATCTCCTGATCTGGTATTTACTGATATTCTACTCCCAATAAGGCTACTCTAGTTTTTGTGAAATTTTGCTCATAGATGAACATATTTTATGACAATAACTTAATGTAAAAAACAAACAAACCCCAAGGCAGTTAATTCAATATAATAAATACATCTTGAGTGCCTACTGTGTGCCTTATGCACTGGGCTAGATTCTGCAGATACAGTAGTGACCAGGACAGATACCAGCCCTGACCCTCCTGGGACCTCAAAACAAGTGGAAAGAGTGGGGGTCATGCCACATGATGAAGGGGCCGTCTGCAGAGGAGGGAGCCATATCTGGGGTGTCCAGCATCATTTCTGTGAAGTTTTAAGACCACCCGAGAAAAAGCCCTTTTGACTCAAGGAAGAATCAGATCAGAAATATGAATTTCTCCTTTAAGGATAATAAATAGCTTTTAAGAAATATAAAGCTTCCTAGCAAGAATGAAATTGAAAAAGGAAAAGTTTCATAGTGTACACATTTCCTTGCTTTCTTCTGGATAAGAAACCATTGTTCTCTAAGTGACTTTTTTTCTTTAAGAATATAAGAATTTTTGCTCTTTGTGGCTATGAGCAGCGACTCTTTGGCTTTCAGGTGTGTTCAAATACTTTGAAACCTTGTTCAAATGATAGCTAAGTGTCCAAAAATAGTTAGAAATTTAATGTTTTCAAATTGCATCTGCATCTGCTATGCCCTGGCCTGGTAGCTCTGTTGCTTAGAGTATTGTCTCAATTCACCAAGGTCGTGGGTTTGATTCTTGGTCAGGGCACATATAAGAAGCAACCAATAAGTGCATGAATAAGTGGAACAACAAATTGATATTTCTCTCTCTCTCCTCCTTCTTCTCTCTCTCTAATCAATATAAGTAAATAAATAAACTTGCATTTGCTGTGAAAGATTCAGTGTAATTGTATTAAGCTTTTTTTTAAAAAAAAACATGTGTTCGCCTTGGCCAGATAGCTTAGTTGGTTAGAGCATCGTCCCAATATGCCAAAGTTTTGGGTTCAATTCCCAGTCAGGACACATACAAGAAGCAACCAATGAATGCATAAAATAAGTGGAACAATGAGTCGATGTTTCTCTCGCTCTCTCTCTCTAAAAATCAGTAAATAAAATAAAAGAGCATATGTTCAAAATATTTAAATTTTTTATCCATTTTGATGGAAATAAGACTGATTTTGAATTTTTTATAGGAAATATAAAAGTAATATTGATGATTTTTATGAATTTTAAACACAACACCAAAGCTTGTTGCTTAATATCCTTTGCCTGCTTGGAAAAAAATTTTAAACAGCTTTATTGACATTTCATTTACCTACCATACAATTCATCTGTTAAAGGTGTACAATTTACTGTTTTCGATTGATTTCACAGTTGTGCAGCTATCATCACAATCAATTTTTGAACACTTTTATCACCTCAAAAAGAAACCCCATTCCCTTTAGCTATCACTACCACCCCTCTAGCCCTAAGCAACCATTAGTCTACGGTCTTTAAAGTTGCCTACTGTGGACATTTCATATAAATGCAACCATGTGATATGTGGTGTTTTGTTTGGCTTCTTTCATTTCACATAATATTTTCAAAGTACATCTACATTGTAGCATGTTTCAGAACTCCATCCCCTTTTATGTCTAAATAATATTCCATCATATGGACATATCCCATTCTGTTTATCCATTTGTCAGCTGTTTGACGTTTGGGTTGTTTCCAGGCCTGCCTTAAATTGAAATTATGCTTCACAGTTTGCAAAAGGCATGAGTATATGAACCCCAGGTTCCCAGCGGGCATAGTTTTGCCCTCCCACCTGTGTGGGGTCTCCCACAGGTCTCCCAAAAAGGTTGTATAAGAGATAAGAAATAAGCATAGAACCACTGTGCTTGGCTCTGTTGAATGTCATAAAAATATAAAACCATATAGCACCATGGTGTTTTGTGGGAGTTTTTACTAGTTGGCATATTTCTTTTGTAGTTTATCTTTTTCCCAAGCCGGCACATTTCTTTTGTAGGATTTGTTTTTCTCTAGTCAGCCCATTTATTTTGTAGACTTTTTTTTCCGTAGTCAGCACATTTCTGCAAGAATGGTAGGAACAAAATACATTTGGCCACATTGCCTGTGACAATAACTTATTATTTTGATGAAAAGCATTTTGATGCTATTCATTCTTTATTTATATTTGATTTATAGGCCAGGGATTGCAATGCTCTGGATTAAATGGAAAAACAGGACAGTAAAGAGGCTTTTTTTTTTTTTTTTTTAAAGAGAATACTTTGAAATAGAACCAAAGTCTAAAGATATTGATAGACACAGTGGCTGGATTACAACAGTGATTCTAATTTTTATATTCATCAAGAACAATTCCTCTTATCTTAGTCACCCATTAGTTTTTTAAGGGTTAGGAAACTGTGAATTTGATTTTTCTTCTTTTTTAACCACTTTATTGAGGAAAGGTTGACATATAAAAAGCTGTACATATTTAACGTATACAACTTGATGAGTTAAGAAATTTGAGTTTTCTGAAGTGGAGGTATAGAAATAAACTGATTGGGACGAAAGTCCTGCTAATCATCGTTTGTTCTATTTATATGAAATGTGTTTCACTCACTCCCAGAGGCTCACTCCCATCCTGTGTTTTGGGTATGCATGTGTGTGTGGTCTTGGTCTACAAACACTTTTTCTTATAAAAGGACTAATGATAGTGTGTATGATATTTTTCCAAACTGTATATCTCTGACCCATCTCCTAAGTATTAATTGCATATTCATGGTTTTCCCCATGCTTTATCATGCTTAGTTTTTATATAGTCTTTTATTATAGCATGACTTTTTTATGTATCTCGTCTTCATGTCTATGATTTGGGCATATGATTTTTAATTGAGTTAAAGAAACATAATCTACTGATTGATTTCCTATTGTTACACATTTTGGGTTGTTCCCTGCGTTTTGTTAGAAAAAACACTGATGGGAAGGAACATCTTGACACAGAGTTTATGTACTTTTGTTATTTCCTTAAGGTAGATTTCCTGGAGTCAGACTGTTAGGTCAAAGGGTATGAACACTTTTATGACTAATACCTCTGCCAGGTTGTTTAAAAGAAGAGGTGAACCAGTTCATAATGACGTTAACTATACTGTAGTGTTCTTTTTCTAGACTTTTTTGCTACTATATTTATGATTTTTCTTGCTCTTTTAGCAAGAACAAAAAAGGCCTTTTGTTATTGTACTTTATTTTGCATTTCTTTCCATTGCTACAAAGTAGATACTCCCCCTCCCCCAAATATTGATTTACTTGTGTGTATACTGCCCATGTCTCAAGTCTCCACTAGCACTTAAACATGGGAAGAGAGTGACTTACCTGCCCAAGTCTGTACCCGAACGGTCTAAGCCAGGCATCTGTAAACTTTTTCTGTAAAGGGCCAGAGAGTAATCATTTCTGGCTTTGAGGCCATATGGTATCTGTTACAACTATTCAACTTTGCTCTTGTAATGTAAAAGCAGCCACAGGTAAGTATGTAAATGGAGGACCGAGGCTGTGTTTCAACAAACCTTTATGCATAATGAATTATTATTCTTTTGATTTTTTTTCAATCATATGAAAAATGTACAAACCATTCTTAGTTCAAGGGCTGAACAGAAACAGAAACAGTCAGGGGAACCCTGGTTTGCCTTGGGTTGCCATAGTCTGCAGAACCCTGGTCTAAACAGAAGCAGCACAGGCTGAATGAAGCGCACGCAAGGCTGCTACCCTCGTGGAGAGGGTTCAAGGACATCTCCCCACTTGTCCACTTGCTGCCTAAATATCCTATTTAGTGACAGAATAAGGCCAAGAGAGCTTTCAGAAGTTTTTTGTTCCAAGCTCTGTATTTTTCAACTGAGGAAACTGAGGGCCATGAAGTAGTTCCCGGTCGGTCGGTAGGTGGTCAGAACAGACCCACTCACTCTTCTCTCACAGTTTCTAGTCTCCATTGGAAAACACAGCCCTGGCTTCACATTACAATCGCTTCCAAAATGTAACCCTCAAAATGCACATTTTATGACTCTTAACATTTTCTCAACACTTTACCCCTCAGATCTATATATTTTATTGCAAGTAAATTATATCTCAATTTGAAAAAAAGGTCCCACATTGTAGCTGGGAATGTAGACGGTAGGACTCATCTCCTTTTACTTGGTTGATTAACTCATTGGGTGACTTTTGAAAAGGAGGGAGAAATGGCACAGAGCAGGGAAGCATTAAATGGGGTGCTTTGAAGAGTGAGAAATCTAGAATGAGATGGCTAGAGATGGAGAGGGGGTCAGGCTCAGGCGAGGGGAGGGAGAGTACTGAGGAACATGTTATTAGGGGGGTTTAAGATTCCGAAGTAAACTTTATCATTTTGCGTGTGGCTCAGCTGAGCATGAGGGAGGAGAAGATAAAGTACAAAGCAATTCAGACAAGGTCCAGAGCTCATTCAGGGAATGGCTGGACAACTTGTTTGATGTGTTTCCAAAGTGTCACACTCATAGGCTCCAGGCTTAAATTTTTCAGTCAGGCCCCAGACATGTTGCCAAG